TTGTCTGCTCTAAGGCTTCGAAGCATGTTCAGCTAAAACAGAAAAGAGAGAAAATCTCCGTCAATAAAAGGTCTTCGTTGATGGGAGATATTTACAATTTAAAATTTCAATTTATTAGCATGCACTGCGAAGAATAGAAGCAGGGGCGTGAGTACACAATCTCAAAAAACCAGTAACTTCACACTAAAATCCTCGCGTGAAGTGCCATATATAAGAGGTCGACTATTTGATAAGTACGATACCTGTGCTTGGGAGATTGTTAGATAGTTCTTAAACACAGTCCATGTGACTACTTCTTGGCAGCTTGGTGTAGTCAGAGAGCCATCATATCTATAGAAGTCACTAGTGTTTGGGGGAAGAAGGGAGTGCAAAGCTTGGGTCATGGTCACGTTCGAGATATCTGGGCCTTCTAGTAAAAAGATAAAAAAAGAAGTGTAAATATGGGCCTATTGAAAGCCAAATATTTCTCCCATTCAAATTCTTATAAGATATGGATTTATACAGCTAATTTAAAAAAGCTTGCATGCTGCATGTTGTTTACCAAACTTGGACTGTATTGTGTAAATAATATATAATTACTGATCTTATCAAAATCCATTGTTTTCAGTCTGCATTATCCCAACGAATGCATAGAGGAAAATCAGACATATTTAGTTCATTCATTATTGGCTTTGTTTCTATGATAAACAAGCTAGAAAGAAAACAATTGGATTTTGATAAGAACAATAATTATACTAGATAATTACTGAGGCACGCAGCATTCGTAGGTATAATGCTATATATCAGCGCACAAGAAATTATATCGGAAAAACGTGTAGACAAAGTTTAGGAAAATTTCATGACTTTTTTTGTTGTTGGAAATTTCATGACTATAAAGGTTTTGTACCATCACGTGACGGCAGCCATGTTAGATGGCAGAAACAATACAATTGCTTTATATGAGAAAGAATTCAAATCCCAAGAGCAAAGGGATTTTATTGTTGTGCCATCTAACCACAGGCAGCCCAAGCTGTAGTATAAGCGTCGGCACGTGATGGTGCAAAACCTCTATTGTTGCGATCTTTTGCTGGTGATATTCACATTGTCCATGGTGCAGTGCGGACCTGGTATGCAACATGTAACAAAACCTTCACGAACCGTTTTGAAACAGCTGTGTATGATAACGATAAGACATTGATAGGGGCTACACCATTATATTTCCCATTCACGGGCGTGCCGGTTGCAGTAAATAAGTATAGTACTTCACTAAATGAGACATTAATTCTTTATTATTATTATTATTATTATTATTATTATTATTCGTTCTACTTACTGTAAGTCACATTAGCTGTGTATTGTAAGAAAGGTTTAAGCGCCAGATTTTCGTCTCCAACCTGAAGATAGCAAAGTATAATTCAAACAAAGGCATTTTGAGTTATGTAGTTTAGGGAGAAGAAAAGATAAGGCCGATTTAAGCGGTACGATTTTCCTTCAGTGTCGCGCGCAACATGTTTACGCCAAGTTTCAGTTGCGATTCACAGTCGTAAGCGATTTCGGTTTATTCACACGAAGCAATTCGTGTCGCTAGCATGTTGCGCGCAACCGTTGCAGCGTGGGAAACAAATACATATATAATCAGTCTGAGAGAAAAAATAGCAGCCACGGATTTCCTTTAACAAAATACCTTTTTAGCTTACTTACCTCGGGCGTAATGTTTTGCCCATTTCAGACCATGTGTCATTCCTTTTGAGAATAGGTTTCTTTGTCCCATTTGCATCCAAACATAGAAATGATGCTCAAGGAAATGACACGTGGTCTGAACTGATGGACAAAACATTACGCCCGAGGTAAGTAGGTCTATTCCATAGGCCTTTTCTGAGTTCGATAAACAGGATGCATTGTGGTCTAAGTTCGGTCCTACTAACAACACCATATAAGCCATGATGGGGRAAAAAATTTATGCCTAAGCTAGACCACAATGCACCATTATCGCTATCTCAGAAAGGTCTACATCCTTGATAATCCTGGTCTGTTTACCTCATAAAGGACGCCAAGTGCTGCAAGTCCATCTTCGTTTTTTAACGCCTCTGACACGTTTGGATACTTTGTGTTCACATTAACAAAATGGAGCTGAATTCATGAATTACAATTTTAAGACATTGTTAGTAATCACGCAGGAATTCGCGAAGAATCGAATTGAATCCTGTGCACTTGGAGACCCGCTAAGGAGTCGAGCGGTTGTCGGTGCTTACCGAACAAAACTCCTATCCCTCATGCACAGTGCCTCTAGTTCAAGACAAAGGCTGTTGTGCCTCATGTCATGGTAGCCATCACGTGATGGTGCAAAGTCTTTATACACTTATTTCAATAAAGTTAGTCACCAAAAACCTAGAAAGCTGAGATCACTGAGCATCATGGGAAACTTTTCATATCAAAAAAGCAGATATATACAAAGGTTTTTTGATACAAACTGCAGCCCGATGATGTTGAGAAGAGGTGAGACTGTAACCGGTAAAAGATTCGCAAGTCCATGAACAGTTATCAAGCGGTTGAACGTGTAAAATGAATCTACCCATAATCCTTGTCTGCCTCAGCTTTATAGCTGTTCAGGTGACTAACTTTATTGAAATAAGTGTATACCTGACAAAGCTAAATCAAATTAGTCTGAACACTGAGTACCTCAAGCGGAAACTTCTTTCCATTAATCGTATGCTCGGATCCATTGGTGTTATCCGCCCCCCAGTGGAAATGAATGTTGTGAGTGTAGAACTTGCCAGGCAGACCTCCTTCGGACACCAAGAACGTGTTGGGTTCAAAAAACACCCTGTAGGATTTGCCATTGTTACCGAGCTTGAGCATGGATCCTGAAGGAACGTTGTCATAGTTGGTGAAGGTCAGTTTACCCAAGGAGTCATCATAGCTAGCTTCTGAAGCCTTAATGTCAATTGGTGATTGTCTGGAGCCTTTACAAGAAACCGGGAAGGTATTGGCCCAACCAAGAGGACCTAGAAGTAGTTTTATAAATAATAAATAATATCAGTACCTACAATGTGCACGAATATACATAGACGTTATTTGCCGGCCAGGGCCCGGTTGTACGAAGGGTGGATAGCGCTATCCGACGGTTAGATCTTATCCAGTGGATAAATTCATTGGATAACAGTGCGAAAAAAACATTGGTAAAGGTTCTTTTGCATGCTGCATACTCGAAGCTTGAGTTATTCGTGTTAAATTCATGTCTAAATAACGTGTAGACAAAGTTTATGAGAATTTCATATTTTGCCGATTGGATTCACATCGTCCACAATGCATTGCGGGATTGGTATCTGACATAAACCCAACCTTCACAAACAACATTCTTTGAAAAAGCTGTATATATTCCGTATAGACCTATTTCAAAAACCGTTGTCATCGCCAAAGGTGATAGGACATTGCGACATGGAAATGGTTTCGTCGGCGTCTACAAACAACATTAAGTCACTTTCAACACTAAGGTCCACGTTCTTGACGAGAATGAAAAGTAGAAACACAAGTCATTTCAGCTATTCTTGGATCTTGCAAATTGGAATGACCTATTAACTATTGCCTATCGCCTATCGCCTTTGCGATGACAACGTTGTATTAAATTGCCACCAACGATAGGCCTGCCGAGTAAACACGACCTGTGTTGGAGTTCCTTTCGTATATATTCTCTAAGTTATGTCAATATTGCTTATATCATTCTACTTACCATTGGTGGTGTCTGAAAAGTTATAATTGTACTCTAGAAATAAGAAAACGAGTATCGACATAAGATGTTGAATTTTGAAGCTGATGGTTTATCCCTGCCATAGGGAATGGACGGGCATGAGATGTTGCACCTAACTGTATAAAGTGTGTCATTCAACTGCTCCCATATATCGGCGTCACGCCTGTGATGTCACCGCAGCTAATGCTTGGGACGCCATTCATCCCCCGATAAATGAACTAACATAAAGATTAACGTGCCATATTTTCAGCCAATTAACGTGCCATATTTTCAGCCACCATAATTTATGAAACAATATTGTATTCCATTTCCAGTATCGGAAAATTTGTTCCACAAGGTTACGTTCGGGAGAATATTTGCATAACGACAAATGCACCTTCAATGTCATTGTGTTTATGCAGATATTCTGCCCAACCTATCCCGAAGTTAACCTTGTGGAATGTCCGAGAGCATTGTTGTCCACCGATATTGCATTAGTTATTTTTAGTGGGTTGAGCTCTTTAGGTACTTTTTACTTTTCGCAACGACTGCTGCAACTTGTCTGGCAACATTTCTTTAAATTTCGCTGTATGTTACACGCTGCAATGCTCCATACAAAGTTCCATGGTGCATCATTGAAAATCGCTTCGTGTAATCGCGCCTTTAGACTTACCAATACTCAGCGAGACTTGAAAAAGTGCTGCTGATAGGAAAATGAAGAGTGTGCTTGACATCCTTAACTGCGATACCGTTCTGCTGAAAAAAACTACATAAAAAGGCGCGTAGTCAGTGTTAAATGCACCTTCAATATATAAAATAGCCATTTGTAATGATTTTGATTGGAGTGCCGGCCAAACAAAACCAACCATGCATGCATAAATAATAAAGCTCCGTTACGGACTAGCGACAGAGTCTTGTCAGCTAGTAATCTTTACATTTGCATTACGATTGTAATCAAATACAATAACTATTGATCATGAATCTCGAATTCTATCGGCACTTAATTTCACCTTCTGAAAGCATCATCAAGCTGCATTTAACTTATTGTCTTAGGAAAACTCTTCTGGGCTGAACATTCAAAGTTTTCCATTATCTTCACCGCAATCTGACGTTGCATGTTTTTGAAAACTATCTTTGTTGAAATTAGTAGAAGTACATACGCGCAATGATGGATGACCAGTGTACAGACAATGTGGCAAATATTCGTGCTCATTTTTTTCCTTTGATTTTTTTTCTTTTCTCTTAATATTTAATTTGATCGCCCCTAAAGTGTTTGTCTTATTACATGTGTAAGCCTGGTAGAGTGCATACTATACATCTGTGAAAAAGTTAACTCACAAAATTGTACTAATTAGTGTAACGCTTTTCAGGTCTGCGGCATACTGAAGTGTACTGAACTTACTAATTTGTGCAAAGTTCTGCAATTACTTACAAAGTGTTTCACAGTTATGTACTGTATGCACTCTACGAGGCTATATCGTGTAAGTTATTTCCTTAAAAACGCAAAAGTTCAAACACTAAAAGCATGTAACATAAATAGTTCAGTCTAAATTATGCTAATTCCTCTTGTTTTTTATTGTTTAGTTAGCGTTAGGGAGTTAATTAATTAAACCGTGAAATAGATTCACTCTCACTCTTCACTCTCCTAATAGAGTTGTCTGTTTTAGCGGCATTGGTACAAGAAATGGCAAAGTGATAATGCGTTATTTAACCGTGCAGTTAAATATGCTATAGCTAGTGATTACTACCTGGTTTCAGGTAGACCGTTTTGCTTTAATCATGTGCTACATTAATTGTTATATTAGTGACTTAATAAAAATAATAAAACAATGCGGAAGATTAATATGTGCTAAACTGGGCCGTTGATCCGTTAAAACGGACAACTCTATTTGGTTTTAAAAAATGCAAAATATTCTAATTCGTTTCGCTAGTTAATTAAGAAAACACTGTACGAGGTTTCTCTCTTCGTAGTTTACTTATCATTTTCTTATTCCTTATTTCGCAAACATCATTGTTCCTGCTTAACCACACTTCGAATATTTTGAGCTCCCGTACGCGATATCTTACATGTAATACAAACCGTTTATGATGCTACGTTATAAAAGTTGATTGTTGTTTTTTGAGATACTTTTTTGAGATATCAAGATCTTGTAGTATATTAATTTGTGTATTACACATTTAGAGTCGATAAAATAACAAAAAGGACGGTTTCTATTTTGCTGTGAAGTCCTATCGTATTCACTTCACTGATGGGGGCTTTTCTTTTCACGGCTAAACACACGCCCGAATATTATTCAACTCTAAATGTGTAATATTGAAATATATATTTAGTATCCTCTCTTACTTTGGTTAAAGGTGACGCTGATAGTCATATACAAAAATTAGAGTTAACTCACCTCAGATCCCTTAAACCAATTATTTATATCAGAACCTCTCAGGACGACTGCGCTTGAGAAATGCTTGTAGGGTATGCAAATCAGAGTAAAAAAATGGCAGCACCAACAATGAATCGCCACGGGCGAAACTTCCCGAACAATGCATTGCGCCTACTTGTGTTATTGATCTAATTTCTCCTTACGTTCCATCACATTACGTTCATCTTCTAAAAGATTGCTTAATAGTATACTAAGTTTAAATTACGAACATATGGCGCTGAAGCCTTTTCTATTTGTGGGCCATTTTTTATAATAATAATAATAATAATATATTATAATAACTTATGATTTATATAGCGCTAATATCCCCATGGTTCAACGGCGCCTTACAAAAAGATCAGATAAAAAACATTAAAAATATAACTATATAGGTATTTAGTTGTGGTTTAGAGGTATACATTAAAATCTTTAAACAATAATTACAAACAACTTTATAAATACATACATATTTGATAGAAATTTGAATCGATGACTGAAATAACTTTCAACATTAATTGGCTATTATACATAATAATAATCATTTTTAAAGTTTGTTGAAAAGTAAAAACAAATCTGGATAAAACTACTAATAAAAGGCTTGTTGAAAAAGCCAGGTTTTGACCCTTTGCTTGAACTGTGATATTGAAACAGAGGATCTTATGTTCTGTGGTAGATTGTTCCATAGTTCAGGGGCCGCATTAGAGAAGACTCTTCTACCATACTGTTTCAGGTTGTAAGATTGCTTTACTAAAAGATTCTGAGACATTGATCGTAAGGAACGTGATGGAACATTTTCTGGAATACTCCCTCAGGATGTAAGGCAGTTTACTAGTTTGGATTGTTTTAAGAGAAGAGAAGCTTATTACTAGTTGTTATAATATATATCTAATAAGCTCATTAATAATTCATGAGGAAAACACAATAGAAATCATGACCGCAAAGAGTGTTGTAAATCTGATACAGAGTCATGTTTGTTTGCATAAACTTTAACTTGGATTTTCTTGGACAGATTCACTTTTATCTTGAAAATTTTATTGAAACACAAAGGAACTAACTTAAACGTTTGTTACAATATACAATATTCATGTCCGTATTGTATGTATATCGTATACAACACGGCCACTCATACCGTATATGATACATATATATTATAAAACTAATTACGATTTTGAGACGACAATACCATGAAATATTGACGGCTAGTTGGGAGAAAATATATTCGGTATTGGGCGGAGTTGCTAAGCGACGGATTAAAAGCGAAATTCTCCTTACGAGCGCGAGCTATGGCGCAAGCAACAAGCGTAATAATTTGGCGCGCGCGCGCTCAAGCTTTCCTTTTCGTCGCGCGTTAGCTAGCCAATCAGAAACGACAATACTAAGAGACTAATTAGTGAATCGCGATATATATTTGATTTATTATTATTATTATTATCTTCGTTTATTTAAACTTTCAGTATGCGTAATACTTTACAAGAATAAAGCAGAACTTTTATAGTTCTAGGCTATATCCTTAGTGTGCCACTAACAAATGTCTATTCAAAGGTGTAGAATGCCTTAACTATTTCGCAGTTTTGCGATATCACCCATTTTTGGCATTGTCTTATCAAGTTTTGTCCATCATCTATGCCTACACTTTCCATATCATGTACAAGTTGTTTCTTATAACCCGCTAGAAAATCTAGGACAATTTTTATTATAATTATTATCAATAATCAGATCTTATTAACCGAGCGGGAGGTCTGTACGGGATAATCTTGACTGAGGTCCGTACCCGATCGAGGTGAAGATTATCCCGTACAGACCGACCAAGCTCGGTTGATAAGAGTTTTATTATATGATCACTTTTCATTGAAAAGGACAAAATGTTTTCACCGTAAGATTAATATGCGATCGGACCGGTTAATACCGGAGAATCTAGACCAGTCCGCGATGCGATCTATCCAATCAGATTGCTCGATTTGCTAGTGTCCAGGCTCTAAGATTCACGGTCATATAATAATAATAATAATTATTATTATTATCATCATTTTTTTTCTAACACTATATGTTATAATTAGTTTTTAAGTTTTTGTATTAATTATTTATTTATTTTGTTTAAATCAAGTTATTCATAATACCAAAGAGATGTTAGTAATCGATATCTTTATTTAACTACTAATTTTAAATATTTCTTAATGTAGCCGATTAGTTGTTGTAAAGGGCTTTGCGCATCTGATGTAAAAGCGCTATAGAAATAAAGATATTATTATATTTATAGTACACTCAACAAAATTACTCGACTCTGATTGGTCGAGAGAAGTACAATTATAGCGTTAATTGTACTCCGTAGGAGTACCGAATTAAGTTGCTATGGCAACACGGCCAAAACAATGTCAAAACATTTATTTTCTATCATTTTGTACTTAAAAAACATAAATAAAATGTTAAAGCCGTAAGAACTAATCTTTATTATGCATTTCAGTTGCGCGATGGACTGAATAGACAAAGGTGAACGGCGTCGATGCGCATTTTTTACTGAAATTTTGTTGAGTGAACTATAAACAAAAAATCGCACGATCTTCTCGTACAATTTGGAATCAATAGACACTCGTAATGTTTTGAAAGTTCTTTAATTGCACTCGCCTAAAGGCTCGTGCAATTACAAGAACTTTCAAAACATTACTCGTGTCTATTAATTTCCAAATTGTACTCGAGATCGTGCGATTTCCTATACTAATTATATCGTTTTATCATATAATTATCCATAAAATACCTATATTTCTCCTTTTCGAAAAACTGATATTTTCACATGTGAAAATATCATTACCATGTGTATTTAAGCTATTAGTTTATAAATAAAAACTTTTTATAACAATAAAAAGCTTGTTAAGTTGATTTTATGGATAATTATATAATAAACAGAATATTACATGGGCGCTTGGAGATACGAAATTTATTTTCTCGTGTTGAAAATCTCTCACTCGTTCGCGTCGCTCACTTGTGAGAGATCTTTTCAACACTCAAAGATAAATTTCGTATCTCCGCGCGCCCATGTAATATCCTCTATATATTAAATAATAACATTATTATATTTATTATATTATCCTATTAATTATATTATTGCATTCATTATATTATTACATTAATAAAAATGTTTGGAACCGCCCCGTTGAACACGAAGCAATAAGGCCCGTGTTGAACTTGAACCAAATTTCGGGAATGTTCTAACTTTGTAAGACAATTTGTTACCTGTTCGCAACAATCGAATACAAATTTACTGAGATCGCACTGCGATTAAACAATCCCTACGCAATGTAAGGCCTAGGGCAAACGTGATAATGAGGCGGCATTCTTTGATGTAATTAAGTTCGGCGCATGGAAAGTTCGACGTTTGCCCTAGGCCTAAGCAGAATGTTAACTGTTTATTCACTTATCTAAACAAACTTGTTACCAATACTCCATTTTACAGTACCRTTCGAGTGACCACGAATAATAGTTGCAAGTCGAGGCTGCAGTTTCCGCGCATAGCAAAACTATACTTTTTATCATGCGCGGAAACTCCAGCCTCGGCTCGGAACGGAACTGTAAAATGGAGTATTGGTTCAAGTGTGGACCGCGCATAATTATACGGTATGTTTCTCAAACTCATTTTAATTCACATCTTATAGTACACTCAACAAAATTACTCGACTCTGATTGGTCGAGAGGAGTACAATTATAGCGTTAATTGTACTCCGTAAGAGTACCGAATTAAGTCGCTATGGCAACACGGCCAAAACAAAATCAAAACAATTATTTTCTATCATTTTGTACTTAAAAAACATATAAATAAATTTTTAAAGCCGTAAGAACTAATCTTTTTTATGCATTTCAGTTGCGCGATGCATGGACTGAAAATCGGCCGCCAAATAGACAAAGATAAACGGCGTCGCTTCGCATTTTTTACTGAAATTTTGTTGAGTGAACTATATACAAAAAATCGCACGATCTTCTCGTACAATTTGGAATTAATAGACACTCGTAATGTTTTGAAAGTTCCATAATTGCACTCGCCCTAAATTGTACTCGAGATCGTGCGATTTCATAAACTAATAGAAAAATAATCATCGTTTAATTCTATTTCTTATGCCCAAAAATAACCTTCTTTGCATCCCCCATAAATTGTCTATATTCTTTCAAAAGGTGTGAAAATGGCCTAAAATCGATCAAAACTATGGGCTATAGTCCATGCTCTTTGCCCAAAAATGGCTAAAAATAACCTATTTTTATCTTCCAGAAATTATGCATATTTT